CAGGAGGCTTGTACAAGTAAGTAAACTAAACTTTTTTCATTATTCTAGAAATTTTCATACATTATGTAGTGCATATTCTACATAATGCACTGATGGTTTTCTCATGTGACTATAGGTTTTAGATCAGTGTGTTTTCTCAGGCTCTGAAAAATCTCCAGGTAATCTTTTTCTTGGCAGTTGGTTACCTATGTAAATGTGAATCTTACGTTTGACCTTGTAATAATTAAAGAACATAATATTCCCAAATAATCTGAGGAGTAATGTAGAATTTTTATTTTTATTCAGATCTCTTTTGAAATTGGTAAAAACAATAAATTTGAAAATTTTCTTTTAGGAAAATCATGTCCACATCCAGTAGAACCCACAAATGGCCAAGTAAACAGCATAAATGGATCTTTTGTGTTCGGTTCACAAGTCCACTATTCTTGTAATGAGGGGTAAGTTACTCTTTAAAGGAAATAAGGTAACTGTTACTAATTGCATTTTTGTTTTGTTTCTCTTCTTAAGCATTCCCATAAAGTTGATTTCATTTTGCTTTCTATGTGACAGGTCATACTTTTAGCCAAACATCTTGGGCTTTTTTGGAGACTGAAAAGGTGTAAAAAATACAATGAATTAAAGGGAAGGAAAACAAAACTGTAATAACATACTATATGTAATAATAAGCCTATTGTAAGTATTAAAAATGTAGTAATCATGGTGACTTCATGGCTGACAACAAAATGTATCCTATTTAAAGTGGACAACTCTGAACATTAAAGTAGAGCTTTTAGAAATGGGAGGCAGAATTGCCAACTAAAAATATTTTTATTTTGAGACAACTCTAAAGTGTTACCAGACCAAAACTGACCTGGTTAGCCCGGACCATTATGTTGCTCATGATCTGTTAGTTGGAAACCTTGTTTTTGAGACTGCTGCAAAGCAGTGAAGCATGTCAAAAAGAGGTACTAAGTGCTTGATAACAACCTTTCTTCTATATAGCTCTTTTAATAGTATAAATTGGGGACACTGGGCATTTATGAAAAATGTGCATTTAGAAAGTAAAGATAATACAGTATAGAAACACAAGTGTTATTTTTATGTTGACCTTGTGTTCTGCTAACTTGCTGAATTCATTTATTAGTTTTAACAGTTTTGTTTTTTGTTTTTTTGTTTTTTTGGTAATGTTTGTTTCTGAGTGGAATCTTTAAGGCTTTCTACACGTAGGAGCATATCATCTGCAAACAGTGATGATTTCACTTCTTCCTTTCCAATTTTATTTCTTTTTCTTGACTAATTACTCTGGCTAGAACTTCCAATACTATGTTGAATACAAGTAGTAAAAGTAACCATCCTTGCTTTGGTCCTGATCTTGAAAGAAAAGCTTTCAGATTTTCACTGTTAAGTTTGGTCCTTGCTGTGGGGTTTTCATGTATGTCCTTTATTATCTCTAGGTAATTTCCTTCTTTTTCTAGTTTGTTGAGTATTTTTATCATGAAAGAGAATTGAATTTTGTCAGATTCCTCTTCCACATAAATTGAGATGATCATGGGTTATTTTTTGCCCTTCATTTTGTCTATGTGGCATATTACATCGATCATTTTTCATATGTTGAGCCAACCTTGTATTCCAGGAATAAATCCCATTTTGTCATGGTGTATAATCCTTTTAACATGCTGCTGAATTGTGTTGTTTATTCCCCATGCTGCTGAATTCTGTTTCATTGCAGATTTTTGTATCAGTGTTCATAAGGGATATAGATCTGTAGCTTTCTTGTAGTGTCTTTTTGCCTGATTTTGATATTGTGGTAATTCTGATCTCAGAATGAGTTCCTAAGACTTCTCTCCTCTTCAGTTTTTTGGAAAAGTTTGAGAAGGATTAGTATTCACTGTTCCTTAAATATTTGGAAGATTTTACCAGTGAAGCTCAAGTCCAGGGCTTTTCTTTATTGGGAGATTTCTTATTACTGATTCAGTCTCCTTCCTAGTTATAAGTCTGTTTAGATTTTCTACTTCTTTGTGACTTAGTCTTGATAGATACTGTGTTTCTAGGAATTTGTTCATTTTATCTAGGTTGTCCAATTTGTTGGTATAAAATTAGTCATAGTACTGTCTTACAGTATTTTGTATTTCTGTAGAGTTGGTAGTAATGTCCCCACTTTCATTCTGATTTTAATGATTTGAGTCTTTTCTTACTTCATCTAGCTAAAGGTTTGTGAATTTAGTGGATCTCTTTGAAGACCCAGCTTTGATTTTATTTTCTCTTATTGTTTTTCTCTTATCTATTTTGCTTAACTCTGCCCTAATCTTTATTACTTATCTCCTTCTGCTTGTTTTTCATTTACTTCATCTTTTTCTAGTTCTTTAAGTCATAAAGTTGGGGTGTTGATTTCAGATTTCTCATTTTTAATGTAAGCATTTACAGCTATAAATTTTCCCCTTGGTACTGCTTTTGCTGCTACCCATGTTTTGGTGTGTTGTCACTTTCATTCATGCAAGAGTATTTTCTAATATCCCTTACGATTTCTTCTTTGATCTATTGATTACTTAAAAGCATGTTGTTTAACTTTTACAATTGTGTGAATTTTCCAGTTTTCCTTCTAATATTGATTTCTAATTATATCCCATTGTGGTCAGAGAAAATACTTTGTATGATATCTATCTTTTAAAATCTATTGATTAATTAATACTAATTTCTGACAGAATAAATTTATCTTATTAATTATGCATTATTTATTAGGTAATTAATTGTGTTATCAATAATCTAATTAGTGTTATTAATTTGCGGCCTACTATTTGGTCTGTCCTAGAAAGCATTCCCTGTGTACTTGAGAAGAATGCATATTTTGTTGTTGGGTAGAGTGCTCTGTGTATGTCTCTGAGATGTATTTGGTTTATTGTTTTCCTTAAGTCTTCTATTTCCTTACTTATCTTCTATCTGGTTGTTTAATCCACTTTTATGTGTGTTTTGAAGTCTCCAAGTAGTACTGTAGAAATACCTATTATGTGTATTTTTCCATTTCTGTCAGATTTTGCTTCATATATTTTGATGGCCTGTCATTAGGTACATAAAAGTTTATACTTGTTATATCTTCCTGCAGTATTGAACTCTTATTAATATATAATGTCCTTTTTTATCTTTCATGAACTTTTTTTGATTTAGAGCCTATTTTGCCTGTACTATTTCTACTGCTCTGTTTTGAAATGCCTTTTTACATCCTTTCAATTTCAATTGCTTTGTGTCTTTGGATGTCAGGTGAGTCTCTTGCAGAGAACCTTATATTTGAATCAAGTGTTTTTATACATTTTGGCAATCTCTTTCTTCTGAATGGAGAGTTTAACCCATTTAAATATAATTACTGACTTCTGTCATTGCGCTGTTTGTTTTCTATGTGCCTGATAGCTTTTCATGTTACTCATTTCCTGAATTACTGTTTTCTTTTATGTTTAGTTGATTTTTATAATGAAATGTCTGAATTCTTTTCTTACTTCCTTTTGTGTATATCCTATAGCTATTTTGTTTGTGGTTACCATAGGATACATGTAACATCCTACAATTATAACAGTCCGATCTGAATTTATACCAGTGTAACTTCAGTAAATTAGAAAGTCTGCTCCTTTATGGCACCATCCTACCCCTTTTGGTTATTGGTATCAGAGTAGTCTCTACAACAGTAACTATAATACTAGCTTCTACACTAATAATTTATTTTCTTATAAGAGAGTAGTCTTTTAAATAATAATAGAAAAGAAAAATTGCACTTACAGACCATTATTACAATAACACTAGCTTTCATTATTGTCCAGGTATTTACATTTACTGAGATGCTTATTTCTCCATAAGGCTTCAAGCATTTCTTGTAGACAAGGTCAGTTAGTCACAAACTCCTGCAGCTTTTATTTCTTGGAAAGTCTTAATTTCTCCTTTACTTTTGAAGGGCAGTTTTGCTAGATAGAGGATTTTTGGTTGACAGTTTTTTTCTTCTAGCACTTCGAGTATATCAATCAGCCTACTTGTCTCTGGCTTCCAAATTTCTGATGAGAAGTCTGCTTATAATCTTATTTAGGATCCCTTGTTGTGATGATGCACTTCTCTTTTGCAGCTCTCAAGATTTGAAAGTTTGATTATTATATATTTTAGAATGGGTCTCTTTGAGTTCATTTTACTTGGAGTTTGTTTAGCTTTTTGGATATTTATATTCATGTCTTTAATCAAATTTAGGAACCATTATTTCTTCAAATATTTTCTCTACCCCTTTCTCTCTGCTCCTTCTGAGAGTCCCATAGTATATATGTCCATCTGCTTGTTGGTCCCTTAGGCTCTGTACACTTTTCTCCAGTCTTTTCTCTTTCTGTTATTCAGACTCCAATTGTCCTATCTTCAACTTCATCGATTCTTTCTTCTGCTTGCTCTAATCTTTCATTCCTCTAGTGAATTTTTCATTTCAGTTATTGTACTTTTCAAGTCCAGAATTTTCACATGGCTTCTTTTTATTTTTTTAGGTTTTCTGTCTCCTATTGATATTTCCATTTTGTTGGTACATTTTCTTTACTTTCTTCATTTATTCCCTTATTTATTTGATCATCTTTAAGACCATTATTTTAAAGTCTTTCTCTAGTAGATCTGCCATCAGGTCTTTTTCAGGGACAGTTTCTGTTAATTTATTTTTTCCGTTGAGTGGGCCATGCTTTCCTGTTTATTTTTATTTCTTGTGATTTTTCTTGAACTGGATGTTTGAATCTAATAATGTGTTAGCTCTGAAAACCAGCATTTGTCCCTTCCCTAGGCTTGCAGTTTTATGTTATTTTGTTGTTGTTTTCATTGCCATAAGGAGTTCAGTGTTGAGTATCAGCTTGAGATGTAAACTGAAGGCCTTCTCAGGTCTTTTCTACTAAACCTTTGCTAGGTTTTTTAATTTTCAGTTTTTAATTTTCCTTGTATATGCAGTTGGTTTTGAATGTCCTATTCTTTTAATGTCTGGCTTCTGGGAGGGGAAAAGTGAAAAAATGAAGTGGGGAGCAACGGGCACTGGATCTTTAAATACCCTGGGAGTCACTTCAGTCAGTTAAGAAGGGGCTTTTAAGAGTGGGGAGAGGTGCAACAACAAGGGCTGCAAAGCTCTCTCTTTGACTGCATCTCTGTGATAAGATGTAGCATTCAGTGATAAAAGCACAGATCCCTGGTATTTGGAGACAGGGTCCTTTTTGCCTACCTTAACTCCCATAAGCTTCTTACAAACTGTTCTAGGAACACCTGCACAGCTGACTGCCTGATAGAGATGGAGGGTGAATACTTGCCACTGTAGTAAGAGCTGAAATTCACTGAAGCTAATGCAGTTTATCCCTCCAAGTCTTCCCTTGGAAGTTGCAAGCCACTGAACAGAGAACAGACTCTGGACTTCCAAAACAGTTACATCTGGCAGATTCTAAGAGTGCAGTTGTCTTCTAGTTGGGGAGAGAGATTCGTGGTGCTTCCTACTTTACCATCCCTGAACCCTGTTCTAATATATTACAACATAGAACTAAAGAGCTGAGACTTGGGGGGAAAGTCTGCTGGAAGTGCATATAGGTAGTTTCACAGTTTATTTTTTAACTTGATCAAATGAAAATATTGGAGTAACCTGTCAATATAGGCATGCCTCAAAGATATTGTTAATTAAGTTCCAGACCACCACAATAAAGCAAAGCAAATGGGTCTTTTTGGTTTCCCAGTGTATATAAAAGTTATGTTTACACTGTACTATAATCTGTTAAGCATGCAGTAGGATTATGTCTAAAAAACAATGTACATATTTTAAATTATGAATATTTAATTGACATAAAGACATGAAATGAGCAAATGGTATTGATTGGAAAATGGTGCAGATAGACTTGCTCAGTGCATGGCTGCCACAAACCTTCAATTTGTAAAATGTGCAGTATCTGTGAAGTTCAGTGAAGTGAAGCACAATAAAATGAGGTCTGCCTGTTGTTATATAGAGAGAACCTATTAGGCAGTTTGAAAGATACCAAAAGTTTAAAATGTAGAGTCTTCTCAAAGTTGTGTCCTTAGTAAAAAAACAATATATACAGCAATGTGTCAAAGCAAAATAGTAAGTGAGAAGTACCAAATAAGTAGAATTATCATGGTCATTACATTAGAGTTTAGAAGGAGAGAGTACTGGGAATTTAAGTCATCAGAGATTTCATCAAATAGTAGTGTTCCCGAGCCACTCCTAGAAAGATATTCTGGACTAAAGAATATTAAGAACAGCTGAAACGCACCTAGCACTCACCATGCATCATATGCAAAGTCATGTAATCCTTGAAACAACTCTGGGAGATACGAACTATTACCCCTTTTTATAGATGAGAAAACTGAGCAAGAGAATGTTAACGGATTTGCCAAAGCGGAAATAACATGCCGGTTGTGGACCTGGGGCTTGAGTGCAGGCAGGCAAGCTCTCAGGCCTGATCCCTCTATTTAGTTATTGCCCTTACTGAGCAGAATGTCGTGAGCAAAGGCATAGAAATGAACGTGTAATGTGATCACCAGAGACAGCAAAGAGACCAGACTGGCAGGCATGACAAATTTATTGGGACATTTTACTCTTCGCTCAGATGTATTCAAATGCAGAAATTCTTTTACTTTCTTCTTCAAACGATTATTGCAGAAAAACAACTATATAAAAATTTGCTGCATTTTTATATGCACCTTGTTAACTGCTAAAGGATACAGTAGCTTTTTGTTTTCTCATTTAGTTTTGACTTAATTGGACAAAAAATTCTATATTGTGAAATTTCTGCTGAAACCAATGATGTGGACTGGAGTCATGATCCCCCACTATGTGAAAGTAAGTAAATTCTCTCTTGAGAATTAAGAACAGCACTTCACAACTTCTTGGCCTTGGGACTTTATGCTTTTAAATAAACAAAGATCCTAAAGACCTTTTCTATATGTGGGTTAGTCTATTGATATTCATTGTATTGGAATTAAAATTGAGAAGTTAAAAAAAAACTATTTATTAATTTTTAAGAACAGTAAGCTTAATAGATGCTAATGTAGTCAACATTTTTTATGAAAAAGCAAAATTTTCCATTACAAATAGAATGGTAGATTGTTGTACATTTTTGCAAATCTCAGTACCTGGCTTACAGGAAGACATCTGGATTCAGTCTGTTGCATCATCATGCAATTTGTAGTTTCTGGAAAATTCCACTGTACATTTGTAAGGATAAAAGTGAGAAGACACATACAAAAAAGGAAGAAATTGATGAAAGACAATGATAGCTTGATGTTATTGTGAACCACCAATTTAGCAAATGGATATATTTATAAATTATAAAGCACTTCTTACCTTGCACTGTTATTTTTAATCACAAGCACATTTTCTCATTAAATTGTCAGCATCTCTTACGACAAGAACAAAATGTAACATGACCTTCCAGATAAGTGTAGGTATTTCAAACAGTTACTCTGTATATAGGTATTTGAACAAGTGAATTTTGTTCTAAAAGTTCACTTTTACATTTGTGGTTTGAACATAGGATAGTACATTTTCTCATAGGATCTTCTAAGTGGATATTGGACTCACAGCTAGCTTGCAGAAATCATGTTTACGAATTTATTCAAGGCAGTTCACAGTACTTTACTAATGCCATCTTAATTTTTTACCTTTCCTTTGCCTTTCATGTTCTCTTTTTTTCACTTTTGAAGAGATTTTGTGTGCACCACCCCCCAAAATACCAAATGGAAAATACACCAATAGTGACAAGGACTTCTTTGTCTATAATGAAGTAGTAACTTATAGTTGTGATCGTTCAACTGGACCAGATGAATACTCACTTGTTGGAGAGAGCACTCTTATTTGTTCTGGGAGGGATGTCTGGAGCAGTGCCCCTCCTCAGTGTAAAGGTAAGATGTTTCCCTGCATGCTTCTTCATGTGTAAGTACTATGGAAACACTTTGTAAATACTTTCACCTACAACCAAAACAAACACCCATATATGCTTGTTCCTCCTGTTAAATTAGTTTCTAATTTAACTTAATATAGGTCAAATTGAAACAAAAATAGTTGTAGAGTTCTTCACCCACCACCCCACATGTTCTTGGCATTATAGTTAACATATTATGAGCTACTGTGTATATTTCATGAGTTAGGATTTTTTTTCTCTTAAAGCATCAAAAAACCTATTACACAGACTTAAAAATATAAGGTTTTAGCTTGTATTATAAGAAGTCTGAGAGTTCTGGTTCTAGCAAATGGTAGAATAAATTGTAAAAGATCAACCCTCTCACTGATAAGATTGATAAACTCTGGACAAAACATATTTTAAAAACAATGTTTAAGGTACTGGAAGGTGAGCAAAAATCAGGAAGACACTGGAGGGATTTGACTCTTGGAAGAAAGAAACCACTGAATAACTGTAAAATGTTTACTCTTTTTAAGTGCATGTTCATGGAGCATTCTTTAATACCATATTCTAGGCATTAAGATAATTTTTAACAAGTTTCAAAAAACAAAATCATTCAGAGTGCATTATCTGATCACAATGGAATGAATGTAGGAATCAAAGTAAAGACACCTCCAAAAGCCCCAAATATTTGAAAATTATGCAGGACATTTCTACTAACTGCTGAGGCAAAGAAGTCGCAAGGGAAATGAGCAAGTATTTTGAATTGAATGAAAATAAAAATACAACCTATCAAAAGATCATAGTTTGTGGGATACAGCAAAAGTACTGCTTAGAAGGCTATTTATAGTATGAGATACTTAGAACTAAGAGGAGTCTCACATCAGTGATCTGAGCTTCCACCTAAGAAACTAAATAAGAGCAAATCAAATTGAAAACAAGGAAACAGAAAGAAAAATAAAGATAGAAATCAGTGATATGAAAAGAGAACAAAATAGAATCAGTGAAACCAACATGTAGTTCATGGAGATGACCAATAAAATGGATAAACCGATAGCCAGTCTGCCAAGAAAAACAGGACACAGATTACCAGTATCAGTAATGAAAAGATCATGAAGTATCCGGCAGAGATTTAAAGGATAATAAGGAAATAAACAACTTTATGCCTATAAATTTGACAGTATAAGCCTCACAAAGAGGTCCTATGTCCTCGCTGGGAAATTCTACCAAACATATAAGAAATACAGAATAGCAGCTCTACAGAAACTCTTCAAGAAAATACAAGGGGAGGGAGTACTTCTCAGTTCATTTCATGAGGACAGCATTGCCCTGACACCAAACCAGACAAAAACACTGCAAGAAAATTACAAACAATATCTGCAATGAACATAGAACCAAAACTTCTTAACAAAATATTAACAAATCAAATCCTGTCATATACAAAAATAAGAATACATCATAAGCAAAAGATAAGACTACATCAAAATCAGGGATTTATTCCATGAATGAAAAGTTGATTGAAATGAAAGAATTAACCAGTGTAATTTACCATATAAAGAGATTACAAAGAAGAAAATTTTAAGATCATCTTAAAAGGTATAAAAGCAAAAAGCACTTCACAGAATTCACCATCTTTTCATGATAAAACTCAGCAAAATAGGAATAGAAAGGAACTATCTTAATTTGATAAAAGGCATCTTCAAAAATCCCACAGCTACCATTATACTTTACAATAATAAAATAACTTACCTCCTCATAAGGTAGGATAAAGACAAGGATGTCTACCCTCATTAGTCTATTACACTTTGTACTGGGTGTTCTACCCAGTACAATCAGGCAGGAGGTAAAGGTGGGCATACATATTTGAAAGGAGGGAGTAAAATATACTATATGTACTATGACATTACTGACTGTAGAAAATTTGAAAGACTGAAGTTTTAAGCAAGGTTATAAGAAACAAGTCTATGAGCAGAAAGCAATTGTATATCTGTATAATAGCAATAAACCATTAGAAATTGAAATTTTAAAGTACTCTTTACAAAAGTTCCAGACTACACAAAATAATTGTGTATGAATCTAACAACATATGTAGAAGATTTGAATAGTAAAAACGACTAAACACTTAAAAAAGAAATTTTAAAAGACCTTAGTAAACAGAAATTCAGTGCTCATGAATTGGAACACTCGATAAAAGATGTCAGTTCAGTGTATAAATTCAGCACTCTCTGAATAAAAATCTCAGCAGAACTTTGTAGAAATTGACAAGCTGAATTTAAAGTTTACATGGAAAGACAAGAAGTAGAATATTCAAAACAATTTAGAAAAAAAATGGGAGGTCTCATTCTCTGGTGTCAAAACTTATAAAACATACCACAGAGCACATAACCCAGACTGTGGTATTGGTGATAGGATAGCCATATAGAGCAATGGAACAGAATAAAGTCTAAAAATAGAACCTTTCAAAGATATCCAATTGATTTTGTCACAGGTACTTTTACAAAAATGCTAAAAGTACAAGCACAATTGGAGATCCATGCAAAAATAAATAAAAAAACAACAAACCCCAGAAAGAGCCTCAATCCATGTTAGTAGCCTATGCAAACATTTACTCAAAGTGGGTCATAGAATGAAATGAAAAATGCACAACTCCAAGAATTTTACTAGAAAACGTTTATGGAAAATACTTGTGACCTAGTCAAATACTTCTTAAATAGAGCTCTAAAACCATTGATGCCGGGTTTCTTGTTTGCGGAGTTGAAGAATGAACTTAGCCAACAGTGAAAAAGTAGGAGAGCCAGGGAGAGGCTTTTATTGACAGATACAGTGAGAGGACAGGGGGGACAAGAGAGCCCGTAGGGGTGCGTTATCTAGGGGTTTTGTAGGCAGTTGAGGATTTTGGGGAACCAGATAAAGGCTTAGGGATGTGGACTTGTTAAGTGGTCCCTGAATATCTGGAATTAACTTAACACAAGAAATTTACTGCTCTGATTTCTCCCTTGAATTATGGGCGTCTTGGTCTGGGAGCATATCAAACAAGGCCAACTGCCCAGCCCCCAAGGTGGGCTAAGGTATTGTTTACTAAAGAGTAAGAATCTTACTTCTTAACTTCCTGGGTATTAAAATGCAATCTTATCTTTTAAGTTGGAATCCTTCCTGGCTTTTACTATGTTGTTTATGGCTGGGCCTGCAAGCTAAATTAGTTGCCCAGTTTGCAAAATCACTTCATCAGGTCTGAAGGAGGAAAGACAGCACGTAGGCCTGCGCCTTTTAGCATGCTGAAGTGAATTTTACACATGATTACAAATGATTAGCATAATAAAAACATGTGCTACTCTTCTTTATCTGGGGAATATTAACTGATCTCACTGAAGAATGATTCTAGAGCTTAGTGTAACACAGAGTTTTGGTAGGGGGGTTTCCTTGCATGTAGTTACACTGCTCTGACTGCAAATATCCTGCCTTGCTTTTTCCAGAGGCCCTCACCCTACTCTGACTATGCCTATGATCCCTGTCTCACCATGATCATTTAAAGAGAAAAAAATTTCATGAATTGGACTTCTTAAAAGCAAAACTCTGCTCTCAAAGGACACTTTAAAAGAATGAATAAAAGGAGCCATAGACTGGGAGAAAATATTTGCAAAGTACCTATCTGATTATCTGTAACATGTAAGGAACTCTTCAAAGCACAATAATAAAAAGCCCAATTTTTAAAAAATGGGCAAGATATCTGAATAGACCTATTTCACCAAAGACAATATTTAGGTAGCAAAAAATGTATGAGAAGTTGTTCAACATCATCAGTAAGTACAAATGTAATTTAAAAACCACAATGAGATACCACTAAGCACCTGTAAGAATGGCTGAAATTCAAAACAAACTAAAAATACCACGTATAGGCAAGAATATGGAACAATTTGAACTCTCATTTTTACTGGTAAGACTGCAGTCTGACCACTTACAATACAGTTTTGCAATTTCTTAGAAAGTTAAGCATAACACTTAACATACAACTCAGTAGTCCAAGTAAAATGATCACATGTTCATGTGGAAACCTGTATGAGAATATTCATAGGTACCTTAATTATAAGTGCCCTACACTGAATACAATCACATGTCCTTCAACAGGTGAATGGATGAGCAACCTGTGCTATGTCCATGTCCATACAGTGGAATGATATTCCACAATAAAAAAGAATGTACTTTTACTCCGTGCAGCAACAGGAATGAATCTCCAGTGCATTATGCTCTGTGAAATAAGTCATATTCAGAAGGTTTGATTCCATTATGACATTATGGAAAAGCAATACTGTCGGGATGGAGAACAGATCAGTGGTTGCCTGGTGGTGAAGGCAGCTGGCTTGCAGGGTGGGTTGAGTACAAGGTGGTAGGAGGACGTATTGCAGATAATGGAACTTTTCTATGCCTTTATTGTGGTGGTAATTACATGATTATTTGCATTTGTCAAAACTAATACAGCTGTACACTTAAATTACTGTATGTAGGTTATATCCAGTAAACCTAACTAAAAGAAAATCATTAGTGCAATTAACAGCATGTTGGCACAACAGGTCAGTGAGCCTGGAGTCAGGACAGTAGAAATCCAACATGATTTGAAAAGAAAGATTAAAAACAGAAAGAAAGAGACTTCGGAGCTGTGGAAAAGTAGCAAGCAATCAAATATACATGTTATTTGAGTTTCAGAAAGAATAATATAAATAATTATTTGAGTAAATATGGACCAAAATTATTCCAGATTTGATCCAAAACTAATCCCACAGACCCAGCAAGTCTAGTGATCCTAGCAGAATAAATAATTTAAAAAAATCTACCAGGAAATCCCCACTAAACTAAACACATCATGGTAAAAC